AAAGTGAGCTGTCAACTTTATTTTGGCTAACTGACCAATCAAGCCGCACTAAACTCTGAGGTTCTCGCCAAGGCAGGGTCGAAGGCTCTGGCATGTCTAAAAATACACCTGTGTCATGTGTAGTCAAAATCTGATTGGTCGAAGAACATGAAAATCAACAATATTTTCCTCATTTGCTTAAACTGCAGAGGGATTCATGTGAAATTCTGAAGGCCTCAGGGCAGATTTCTTTTACCTGGAGACAAAACAGGGGCAGAATCTGATTGGATGAAAGCTCTACTTAAAACAAGCTGCACTGGAGGCAGCTCAACTGAGAGAGAAAGAGAGTAGCTAAAAGACAAACTAATGGGAACAATTCTGACAAAACATTTAATGAAAAAAACTATTTGTATTATGAAATATTAGTTTGTGATTCTGGCAGTGTACAGAGAAGACCTTGCTGGCCCTGACGGCCCACCACTGATTGACAAGTATAATTGGGTATCATCGGTATAACAGTTGATTTTTTGCAGTTTCTTTCTTATTACAAAAGGAGATATATATAAATGTGTTAAAAAAGAAACTGGTCCAAGCAGCGTTGATTGTGATTCTCAGTGACTGATGGACTTTTCGAGAGGTGTACAAACTTGGATCGTTCTGATAAATTTGATTTAGACCAGTTTAATGAGGAAGCTCTAATGCCTGTTAAAGTTCCAGTCTCTCTAATAGGATGTGAAGGTAAACAGGGACAAATGAAGCACTTAGATCTAACAGGAAAAAGTACAGAGAGAATTCCACTGTCTGAAGCAATTAAGAGGATCATTTGTAACTTTCGCCTGAGCTGTCTTAGTATTGGACGACTCTAAATACTGAGTGAAAATCCCCAGAATCTGTCGTTTTAGAGAAAGTCACACAAGAGAGTGGTAACTGCATTCTCAGGGTCTTAAAGAGCAAAGGGATGTTAAGATTAATGCTATATGTGCTACAAGATGCTACAGTTTTTTTTGTGTACACTGTGCATTTAACTGTGAATGAAATATGTTACATTCAGGTGTCTAAGTAGTATGACCTTGTGTATCCTTTCAGGACAGGTGCAATAAAATAAAGGTCTTAGACTTAGATACACAATGATTGTGTCCAACATACATTCTTAATACAAATTTTTCTCTAAGATCTGAACTTTTGTGACTTTAAAGATGTGCAAGTTTTTGATGTAGGAGTAGTAAATTGTTTATCGCTCCCAATATACAGTCATCCAATCAAATATGTACACACATCTTTTGCTTAAATGTCACATATTATGCAAAATACACGTTACTATGTGTGTGCCCAAACAGGACTTTTGGGGATTTTCCTTTCATGACATCACAAAGGGCAGTAACCCCTCCCCCAGGTGGGTGACACTCCCACAGCTAGGTGTTTGTTCTGCCCTTTGAGTCTACCTTCTCACTGTAAACAATCGGGCATGGTGCAAGAAAACCGAGCCACATCCCCTTACAGGGAGGGGCGTGGTCAAACACAGCTCATTTGCATTTGAAGCTACAGACACAGAAACAGCCTGTTCTGAGCAGGGCTGAAATAGAGGGGTTAATAGGCATGATCAAATAAAGGATCAGAGTGGATTTAGAACAACAAACCTCACAGACATATTTTAGGGAGCGCTGAGACTTATTTAAACTGGTTTGAAAAGGAGGATAATATGTGACCTTTAAAGAGTTGGATGGATGGATGGACAGTTTATATTAGTTTATTAGGATCCCCATTAGTCACAGCAGTAATGTAGCTATTCTTCCTTGGGTCCACAACAACCTATTGAGTGTGACTGTGTCATGACATCTTACAACTTTAACATCAACATAGAATATAGATGGATGGTGTAATATGCTGACTTTTGGAAATGAGTGAACTTTATATTTTAAAATGAAATAACTTTTTATCTAATTCCTTCAACAACCTATGGTCTTTTCAGGTAAAGAATATTGTTTATTGTTATTTTCTAGTGTAAATAAAACCCACTTGACCAGCTGCACCCTTTTTTGTTACCCTGACTGAGGTAGGCCCAGACCATGCATTACTCATAAGTATTGTGAAGTGAAATGTATTATCAAACATCAGAGTGGTTTTCTATACTGGCACATGCAACTGAGTAATCCTATGATTGATTTACTGCCTTTAATCTGCAGGTGTGTGACTGATGGTGATTAAACTCATATGATTACTGGGGTTACCTGTGACTGTTAACAAGAGAGAGCTGTTTGGAGTAAACTGATTTGAGTGCATAATGTGCTTTTAATGGTACCATGGAGGCTGATGATATATGTTTTTAATTCTGAGCAAAACTTGACAATAAATTCTGGTAATAGAAAACATCATTTCAACTTAGAAATGGTAAATAGATTTGAGCTTGTATAGTGCTTTTCTACTCTTCTTACTACTCAAAGTGCTTTTACACTGTAGGTCACACCTACACATCCACACACTGATGACAGAGCCTGCTAAGTAAGGTGAACATCAGAAGTAACTAACCCCATTCATACACATCCATACACTGCTGATGAAGCAGCAGGAGCAGCCTGGGGTTAAGTGTCTCACCCAAGGACACATTGGACATGTTGTTGCAGGAGCTGGGGATTGAACCCTTGACCTTCTGATGAAGAGACGACTGACTCTACCAACTGAGCCACAGCCGTCCTAGTCCCCCCTCTCTCCAGAATTATGTCTGCATCCAAGAGAAAGGTGTGTAAAGACAACATTTAGAGCATTGTGGGACAGTAAAGCTCTCCACGGAAAAACACACTAATAAAATATTTTACTGCAGCAGATGAAGCAGCTCCTTCAGACAGGTGGAGGTAGTTAACAGCTTTTATTGACCGTCAATTGTAAAGGTGGAGAGTCAAAGCACATCCTCCACTCAATCTTAATACAAACATCTGGTTTCAGTTCGTACTTAAATGTGCCGCTTTGCTTCCTTTTCTTTTGCTTTTTTGTATCATTCCATTTTATGACTTCAGACAATCTGAACTTCCAAACTCAGGGGAGCTGACCATCGAAGAGCGGCTGGATGTAAGAGTTTAAAACACAACACACATCATTAGAGATACTTTGACCCTGCTTTTAGCCTCTCAGGCAGCACAATGATATCTGTAAAGGCTGTTAATGTACAAAACTGCAGATCAGTTTCCACAGACAGACCCTCACACACACACACACACACACACACACACACACACACACACACACACACACACACACACACACACACACACACACACACACACACACACACACACACACACACACACACACACACACACACACACACACACAGTGTTGATTTGGGCCACCAGACACAACATTAATCATCTGCAGAATTAAACCAACGCTTTGCATAAAAATCAGAGGCCCCTCACAGATCTGCAGAGCTCACTTTGTATTTCAAAGCGTGCCAAAGTGCTCTTTGAGCCGACTCATTCTCACATTTAATTCAATTGGTCAGAGAAGAAGAGTGTAATTACTGCGGATAAAAGAGACGCGGTCACACTGAAACATGCTGCTGACCACCCACCAAAGACAAATTCAATCAGAGGCTCAGCCAGAGGTGATCAGATGCCGAGGCTCTAATCAAAGAAATCTTAATAGACGGGATAATCTGATCAGTCACACTCAAATATGAAATATTCACAGCCAGGCGCCGCAGAGATTCATAGAACAGGAAGAGCTGCACACACTGAGAGCTGTGACTCAGCTGCTGGGTGATAGATTACAAATTATATAACACAAAGGTAAATTATCTTTAAGAGAAAATGTTAAGTCAAATCTGATTTCACACAACTGGAGTTGACTCAAGAGCTGGATAGGTCTCACCTCGTGATGTATGTATCCTGAAAAACATCGATTTTGGAAAACCTTATCCTACTCAAGAATGATCGTCTGTTCTTTGTTGTTGAAATAATTGTTTACATAGTTTTAAAGATCCTAGGACTTAAATTCAGGTCCTCAGAGATCCTGAAAGTCAATACAAATATTATTTTTATAATCCCTGAGCTATTGATGAATGCGAATACAACATTCTTTCGCTTAAAAACTTCATATCGCCCTCTCTGTTGTCTCCAAAATTCTGGTCTAATCTTGACTGAGTCCACTCTTATTTGCAAGACGACTATTTAAATATGTCTGCTTCAATGTTACAATCTCTCCTTCAAAATAGACCCACACAGCAGACATTTCTGGCTCAGTGGTAGAGTTGGTTGTCTCTCCACCGGAAGGTTGAGGGTTTGATCCCCAGCTCCTGCAGTCACGTCAGATGTGTCCAAGCTCCCGCTGCTACATCAGTGGCGTATGAGTGTGTATGAATGGGATTAGTAACTTCTGATGATGACACTTTAAATAGCAGCTTCTGTCATTAGTATGTGAATGTGTAGGTGTGAAAGTGCTTTGAGAAGTCAGAAGACTACAAAAGTCCATTCACCATTTCAATCTTCTGATGGAGATGTTTCTTCCCTGGTGTGATGGAGGTGTTAACACTCTCCTCAGCTGTGAAACTAGCTCACCTGACAGGAGCCCACTGTTACCTGAAAGCTGTGTGATCACAATAAGAAACCTGTAGCGTTGTTTTTTTGTAGATTCTCTAAATTGGAGCTTTTAAATCTGAAAAAGGCTCTATAAAGACTTTTATAAAACACAGTGAGTTATACTTGTGAAGTGTAAATGATTACATTTGCCATAATTAGCCCCCTGTGTTACTCATTTAACTGTAAATACTGTTTATAATGTATTCTTCTTAGTTTAACATTGAGACTCATATTTAGTGTGTAGCGTGAGCGCCCTCTGCTGGAGCCCCTGCAGAGGGGGTAGCCCCACGTGCTTTCCCCAGTCTGCTTTACCCTTTATTTAAAACATGTTGAAAAAAACAAACATTGTTCTTATAAAAGTGATTTCTTATTTATATGTTTTGTTTATGAAACGGCTCTGAAATGAATGCGAACATATTCTTTGATATTTATTTGTTGGATCTCTCCACATCATGCATTTCTTAATCATAGCTCCCTCATTCATCTTGGAGGTGTAGATCCCTGACCAACAGTCAACTTAATTATTTGTGTTTTTTGTATTAATTTTAAACTTTTTACGACATGAGGGGCAGTGAGAGACCTAAACACTTTAGGTACATGAAGTTTTAACAACATACTACAAAGTGGCCCATCTACACTTTCCTGTCCCGTATTTGGTGGTTTGTATAAATCTTTGCTACAATATATTGATAAACGATTGTTTTTGTCGTAAAAGTGATTTTTATTCACGTTGTATGTTGAAGAGAACCACTGAGTTTAACATCAAAACTACATTGTGAGGAAGTTCCATCATTGTGGAGTAATTTCAGCTCAGCTAGTTGTTAAGCTTTAGTAGCTAAATCCTGAAGGTGGCTCATTAACACATAGATGGGTTAATTCTGTATTTATGTCATATCTGTTTCTGGAGCTCATTACTACAAAAAGGGTTTTGAGGATCCTAAAATGCTTTTTTTTAATATTGGAAATATATGCAAATTAATTTAAATGTACTATAAAAGTTGGCCCGTCTGCACTATCCTGTCCCTGCACTGTAAAAAAGTTGTCAATTCTATAGTCATTTACAGCAGCTGGGAGCTACTGAAGAGGTCCTAACAATAGTACTGCTGTTTGTTAACAGCTGCATCACTGTATTTCCAATAACAGTACTATCAGTTTTTACTGGGAATTTACTAACAATATGGTTCTGTAAAGAAACCATACCCAATAAATAATTACTTTAACATATGTCCTGTCTGAAGATGCTTTATTCATTTGATCATCAAAATGATTGATCGTGTAAAGATAAATTACCCCAGGTTCCTGAGGGCAACTTAGAAATGTGTGAGACCACATCTCTTCACAACAATGCAATCCGCTCCGTGCACAATATGGCATCTATCAACTTCTGGGATACAAGTTTTGCGGATGAGTACTTCCCACTTTCTCACGGTTGATAAAGATATAGCAAAAAAAAGAGGAGTACATTAGGGATTAAAGAAAGACGATTAGCCTTCCAGTTGGTAAGGAAGTCGGCATTGCATTGCTGTGTGCCACCCTGTAGCAACTTGTCCTGCTACAACATAGATTAGTTTCCACTCGTTCCCAGTAGAGGCTGCACAAACAAAGCATGTCATGTTATTGTTTTCATAATGTAACTTTACAAAGTGGTCAAAGACACTTTAACTTTCCCTCCATTCCAAAATGGTTTGGCCTGTTACATAAATTAAGCCCCGCCCTCCACCTGTTACTGTCAAACGGACAAAAATCAGGTGCACAAAAGAGAGAGTGAAAAGAGTGGTGCAAGGTGTAATGTGTGTGCGCTATGGCCGGTCAGTCATCAACATGGAATACATTTAAAGAGCAGAGTAGTTTTTTTATCTTGTTCATGCAGAAAAGGATGACCACCAGCATAAAAAAGAATAACAATAGTGTTGTCTGTGTCACTGTCTGAGGGTTTCAGGGATGCCGTCAGACAAAGTCCACGATCTCTCTGATGAGAGTTGCCACATGGTCGTTGAGGCTGGAGATCTTCCTGTGGATCCTCCTGCCAGTAGCCCGGCTGACCATGTACTTTGCCTGGCATTCTTAGCCATCAGGGTGCAGCCATAACTTTCCATTTTTGAACACTCTGACGCTGAAGCCTTGATGCTGGATACAGCCTTGCGGTCATCAATCCGTCGATGTTTCACTCTTCTAACTCTCACCTGTCTGTTGTCACGGTTTAAATTTTCAACCCTCGATTTTATCTTCTTCAACAAGGAGCCATAACCACAGCCAATCCACTCTCCTTCCCGTGTTAGATCAGCAAAGCTTTGGGGGTACTTGTCAGTGATTCCTTTAGCGATTTGTGAACACTGGCCTCTGGAAGGGTTCAAGCATAATTCACGGATTGAATCCACAATGATTCTCACCATGGCCAAATGGTCCTGCTTCCTGGGTCGCTTGCCTTGTGCGACACATTGTCGCAAATGTGGACTCATTTTCTCCCATGGGACATGATACGACGACACCCAGTCATTGCTCTGAATAGGGGCGATGGGTGATATGTTAGAACATGAGGAGCCTGGCTTAGAGTTGTTTAGCTTGCCAGGTGTAACATTTTTACTGCCTGCGAGAAGAAATCAGACATTTTGATTTAATCATTGCATGTATTTGAGCAGTTTTCAACCAAAAGCTGAAAATCTAAAATATACTTCATAGTTTCCAAAAAAAGATGCACTTCACCGACCACAAGAAGAGCTGAATACTTGGTTACATGCTGAACATTTAAAAAAGTATGTGCCAGGGTGAGTCCTAGTTCAAACAACCTATTTACAAATTAGAGCTGGCAGCATTAACCCATTCATTGAGATTAATTAAGGTCTGGATTGGATTTGGATGGATTTCACATGCAAAATTTTAATCACATGCAGTTTTGTCCCTTTGGGCACACCGTGGCTACGTCTCGACACCATCTCCTTGTAGGTGTGTAAAAACAGAGGTAGGGCAGTTTTGTGTGTGTATATATTTGTAAATTCCATTATTTCACAACAACAATTTGTAATGTTTGTATTGTCCTCAGCTTACTTTCTGTTTGAATTCAACCATGCTTTTATTTTGAAATAAAGTAATGGCCTTCCGGTAGATCGAAGGTTATTGAAGGTCAATGAAGATTAACATCTCCACAGATAATGGAAATCGTTACGGATCACAAACTGGCGTCAAATAGATCAAAGGAACGGTAACAAAGGGAAATGTTTGATGTCATGAGGTGGATGTCACTTTGGACTCGTCAGCTGAGCTGTGAAAAGAGACATTCAAAGATGCAGCAGTGTCGCTCTCACTGTGACTACAGGGAGACACAGAGGACGAATATCTACGGTGCGCCTAAAGGGACAAAATAGAATGAGATTAATCCAGATGAAAAATAGTAAGGGCATTAATATAAGTTAATAAATATTAACTGGTTAATTCTGACGGCTCAAATGGATACACTAGTGAAGTTTTTTTAATTTGTAGGGACGGATTGAATGCACAATTTAACCGGTAACATTAATAATGAATTAACTGTCAGGTACAACACTCTGTGGTCATTGGCATTTTACATTTAACAACAGAGTGTTTCTAGTCTTAAACAAATGCTCTGTTTAGTGTCAAATATGACAAGTGCAGGTTTTAGCTCCGTTCAATTGGGACACCACTAACACTTCTTACCTCTGTTCCCGAGGACGTTGACGAGTCTTTGGCCACCAAGAAGTGGGACGATATCTTTTAACTCTTTAAAGGTAACAAGCTGTATACCACATTCTGTCTTCACACCGATGCCGGCCAGATGTGCGATTAGATCCTGATAATCCCGCTCGTTGAGTCTGGGGACGGCCTTCATGATGACGTCCTGCACTGACTCCATGTCTTTAAACAGATAGAATGATGCAAAGGAACAAGTTCAACATCAAATATTTTGCACAAAGATATTAGGAAGTGGTCAGCAAAACGACATGAAAAACAAACTACCTGTTTTTGACATTAAAAACAAATATTAAAATGTTCCTGAAATAAAATAAAATAAATAAAAATCATTTTCTGAATAACAAAATAAACAGCTGTGTGTTTTGTTATTCAGATTTTTGAGTCTGGGTCAGAGAGGAGGAGAAGCGGAGCAGGGGAACAGACGTTGAGATGAGAAAGAGGTGAACTGACAAAGAAGACGTGTTGCAACATAAACTATATCAATATTAACGATACTGTCTTACCCTATAACTTGTATGAAAATATATCAATATATCGCCCGAAAAAAAACTTCACTAGTGTATCCATTTGAGCCGTCAGAATTAACCAGTTAATATTTATTAACTTATATTAATGCCCTTACTATTTTTCATCTGGATTAATCTCATTCTATTTTGTCCCTTTAGGCGCACCGTAGATATTCGTCCTCTGTGTCTCCCTGTAGTCACAGTGAGAGCGACACTGCTGCATCTTTGAATGTCTCTTTTCACAGCTCAGCTGACGAGTCCAAAGTGACATCCACCTCATGACATCAAACATTTCCCTTTGTTACCGTTCCTTTGATCTATTTGACGCCAGTTTGTGATCTGTAACGATTTCCTTTATCTGTGGAGATGTTAATCTTCACTAAACTTCAAAAAAAATATATCAATATATCGCCCAACCCTACGCCTTACCTCAGGAGACCCCCCGGCCCCCCCCCTCCCGTCTGACAGTGATAGTCTCCCGCTGTTAGGTGCATATGTGAACATCCAGGTCATGAGTGTATCCGGAGCAGTCCTCCTGAAATGATCTAGATATTTTCAGGGGTGTGTACTGTTGCTGTCCGTTGAAAACCATGTATCTCCAAAAGAAATCTAATTTTTCAGGAAAATGAGAAAACACTTATTTTTCAGAAACAAACTGATAAAATAAACCTAAAACACTAATCAGACATATTTAACATGTATTTAATATTTAAAAATCGATCTTTACAAAGTCATCAGTTAACCGTTTAATATCTTTCATGAATATATGTGCATTGTTGTGAGGGAAAGAGTTCAGACATACGGGTGGACGTTTGCTAGCAGACAGTGGGGAAGTTTGGTGATACATAGATATATCTTAAGAGCCAGCTATCAGCTAACATCACAATATGGCCTTCCACACGGCCTGCCAGCTAATTGCTTCAGTAACTTCAGTGCATGTTAAAACCATGCAGTAGTGAGCATCGTGTATTCATTCTAGCTTTTCATACTTGGGATATCTTAGAATGGCTATAAATGACAGATTATTAGAAGGAAAAATGGCAGTGTAATGGGAATTCTCCCACCTTGTCCTCCTCATGATCATGACATCATGACATTGTTTCTCATGTGACTGACACTGTGTTCATATTTACTGTACATCGTGATGAATACTATGTGATTTGCCAACAAATGTAACTATTACATTTGTTGGTCCTCCAGAGTAAGGTCTGATGCTTTTGTACTCTAACTTCTGTAATGTTCAGTGTTAAACTTGTTAGCTTGTTTCCGTATTGTTACTGCTTTTAGGCAGCTGAAGGAAAAGATCAGATGGATGTTATACTCGACTAAAAGTTCCTAAGCCTTGTGTTGTGTGATTTCTTGGTGTAAAAGTTAAATGGTTATATTTATCAATAGAGTCTGGTTATTGAGGAGAGCAATATAATGGTTTCTGTCAAGATAAAACTAAGACTCATTAAAAGGTCTATCGCTGTAGGGATCCTCTCTGTAATTTCATGCCCCCGTTCAATTTGTAGGACTCAGGTTAAAAAATATTGGAATTTCTCCTTTCACTCCACCTGGGGGGATCTAAAAACATCTCTGCAAATATATGTAAAATATTGTTGACAACAGTCTGAAATGATTTTAACCACAGGCCCATTACTGAAAGTTACTTAAAAATAAGTACTGCTCCAGTATGACACACGCAAGCACGTGATGAACATCTGCCTGAACTTTAAGCTGCTGGATTTAAGTCTGTATCATTACATGGAGGACAGACTGGAAAAGACTCTCCCGATAACAGAGGTGAAAGATGTGCTATATCAGCTGTCCATAGCCCTTTCTCATCTGAGCTCCATTGGCATTGTGCATGCAGACCTAAAATCGGACAACGTCATGGTTGTGGACCGCCACCAGAAGCCGCTCAGAGTGAAGCTGATAGAATTTCTGAAGAAGGTCAGCAGCCCTCCTGTCCAGATGTCCGCATCAATATGCCGGATATTGAAGAGGCCATCTGCAGGGTCCAGAGAGGAAACACATCCCACGCTGCAGAATCAGAGAACGTCGGCTGGTTCAGTGGAATCATTGAAAGGATTAGAAAGACCTTCCAATCCTACTTCCTCATGACCCCACACAGGGGGCTTCAGAGAGGAACCGTAACCCTGGCTGCAGACTCTGAAGATGTTCAGATCCAGCCTGGGAGCAAAACTGAAAATGTCAGCTGGCTCAGCGTAGTTTTCAGAGGGATTACAGACACTTACCAATCCTACTTCCACAACACAGTCAAGATGCCACCAATGTGTTTGGCTGTTTGATCTTAAGTCGGGCCTGGAAGGTGGTGTAGTGATTGACCTCACGTAAAGAGGTTTCTGGTTCAGAGTGGGTTTTCTCCGGGTGCTCTGGTTAGCCCACCATCCAAATACATGTCCATTAGGTTAATTGGTGACTCTAAATTGTCCATATTGTTCATTGGAGTGAGAGCAACGGACAGGATTGACTTGCAACCATTTCAAGTCAATAAATTAATATTAATTACAATAACAATAATATTAAATAAATAAACAATTGAAAGTAAATCATGCCATGTCTTTGCTGAATCATTGTAAGTCTTAATTGTTTAAGAAATAGAAACTTTTTCTTATCATCAATCATAAAGAATGCTGTAAAAAAAATACCCCAATACAGGATTAGTACAGTGATTTTTTTATTTGACTATATTTGAAAGAAAACATTAAATAAATTCTAATATTAATTCAATGAGACTAATGTGTTTTATGTCTGCCCCTAGGCAAGGCCAGTTTAGTAATATAGCACATTTCATTAAAAAGGAAATACAAAGTCCCTCATACAAGACATCAAAAGTATATCATCATGATGAAGGGAAAAGGGAGTACACTTCGTGGACACTTCAAAACTTATTTTGTAATAATAATAATAATAATAATATGAATAATATGTGAGGACATGCTGTTTAATATAACAGTATTCCTGAAGCCCTTTACATTGTTGTAAAAGTTATAGTTACGTAGAAAGTCTTGTTCAAAGTAGGAAAATATTCACATTTTGGGACAGCTTCCATTCCAACCTGCAGCAGCTGTTGAAGGGAGATGCCACCACAGTAATGGCAGCTTGTCAAGACGGTCCTCTGTTCAGTGACGCTATAGGTGGCATGAATCACCCCTCATACGCTCTTTTCTGTCTTCTCAGGACTTTCCCCTCTTCTTCCTAACCATCTCAAAAAAGTCCACTGCGTTATGCCTAGGGTTGACAGGAACATACGCTGGCACACTGAGTCTTCTACCGTCCAGCACAAGGTGACAAAAACTGGATGCTGACCTCCTGGATATATCGGCTTCTGTCCGGCGATCTCCTCCCTCTTGAGCTCTTCTACTTCTCTGCAGTGCATCTTTTTAGACCTTTGGCAGGCCGCAGACTGGCATGGCTTTTCCCTTCAACACTTGCTGTTGATTCTTCCTCCCACGAGACGACTGGCCCCTCATTCTTCTCTTCTTCTCTATGTTCACCCTCCACTTCTCTGGATTTCCCCTCTTCTTTTTTCCCTGACATGCCTCATCAGCTGAGTCCTCAACTCCTTCTTCTTCTAATTAGAAAAAAAAGAGAGAAATGTCATTTTCTGTAAATGGAGGTTGTGTGGCTAACCCCTCACACGCAAACGTGTCGGGCAGTCAGTCACCATGACATGATTGAGAATCAACAGGAGATTGTTATTATTCATAATAATAATAATAATAACCTTCATTTCCAGATTCATGTGGGACCAAATCAGCATCCAGAGAATCACCCTGGTTACATTCTCGTTCACCTTTAAAAGAAAGAGGAACACATTTAGAACATTGATTGCTATGTTGACATAATCCAATGTTGCTAAGAGTTAGCATGGCTAACTTCATGTCTAACTTAATCCTTATTTTAAACAAACCTTCCTCCTCACTGCTGTCTACCACTACAACTGTCTCAAGCTGCCTGTCATATCTCACACTGACCAATCAAACAGCTCCTCTAATGAATAAGACATGTCTATCCTCAAAGAGAGAAAACAGAGTGCAATCAATATTATTTTCAGGTACTCGATCGGAGATATTAGACGTTTATGAACACATCTCGGACAGTAATCAAATGCATTAAAAAAATACCATCATGATCTCCGAAAGCTGTGAGGGTCTGACATGAGCTACATCAGGACGAATACCAGTAGGCAAACTATGTAGGGTCATCTTGTGCATGTTAACTTTGTTAACTGTAGCTAACTGTAGCTCAGCTATGGAGAGCTACACATTAACTATCAACACTAAGTTGTAAACAATTTGCAGTAAGTAATCCATACAAATGATGACGTGAATAAATGTTAACTAGTACAGACGTAAATGTAGTTGGTGATACTTTACCTCAACGGCGATATTTTACAGAAAGAAAGTGGTGCGAATCGTCTCAGTGCAGTCCCAAACAAAGGGCCGTGGAGATACGTGGTTTGATAGACACTTCTGACATGCAATGGACATACGTGTTATATGGAACACCAAATAAAACATATTTTCATCGGTCATGTGGATGTCAAATTCAAACACCGGAGAGAGGGTAACGAGCGCATCCCATCAAAAGTCTAAATCATCAGAAGTGGAGATACGTGGTTTTCATCGGACAGCGACTATATGTGAAAACGGACGTGTCATGGCCTCAAAAATAAAATCTCAGCGAAAAAATCAGGGGAGCAGAGGCTTAAGTTTAGGTCAAATTGATCTATCGCCCAGCCCTATATCGAGGTTTAAATCCTGGTAAGGTGACAGTCCCAGCAGCAAGACTTTACTTAAGACTGGAGAAAAACTGAACCATAGCATCAAGGTCTGTTACTGAGGCAGTCCTGTGAAAATAATAACATTGATTTCATCAAACTGGGACATGTCGAGAGCGCAAAGTGTCAACTCACTTTCTAGTCGGTGAACTTTATCCCTCAGAGACTGACACTCGGCGTTCAGAGACCGAATCCGTTCATGCAGAGACGCGACGTCGCCGTTCGTCTCCTCTGTTCTCACTTCAGCATTTAAAGGTTCCACCTGTCCACACCAGGGGGCGACGTCCACATGGTTCTCTGTCTTCACTTCATCTTGCATAGATTCAAACTGAACATGTAGGGAGTCCAATTCAGTGGATGTGTCTTCGGTTTTAACTTCAGCCCATAGAGACGGATTGTGTCCATGTGAGGAGGCGATGTCCATGTGCTCCTCCTCCGTCTTGATTCCACCTTTTAAAGGTTCAGTCTGATCATGTAAAGAGGTGATGTCAGGGTGTGTCTCTACTCCTGTGACTTCAGTATTTAAAGATTGAAGCTGGTGGTGAAAAGAGGTGATCCCATCGTGTGGCTCCTCTTTAATCACATCAGCATTCAGCGATTCGACTCGTTCAATTAAGGGGGTGATGTCAGCGGGGGCCCTCTCCATCTGGATCTCGATGACTTGGAATTGAACATTGTGTGCCTCTATCACTGATGCGGAAACTCGCTGCAGGCTCAGGTCAGGCATGGCAGCCACCTCTCTATTTGTGCAGGCGAGCAGATTTTTCTTGGCGACCGACTTCCTCTGTAGGTAACCCTTCAGGTGCTTGACAGCCTGGACTCGACCAGCGGTGGTGGTGTACTGGAACAAACTCGGCACAAAGTCGGGGTGCCGGGGATCATAACTCCTTTTCCCTGAGACAAACAAACAGGTTTACAAGAAATGTCATATTCATTTATGTTCATCTGTGATTTCAACCACTGGAGGGTGTTCCTCTGAGTAGAGTTTTTGATTTAAAAAACTTAGATTTTAATTTAAAATAATAACAGGAAACACAGCGTGCCTCTCTCTCCTCCACACTCAAATGAGTACACAGAGCTCCATGATAGATTAGACAGGCTGACTGGACAGTCCAGTTTTACACAGGTTGATTACTTATTCTGAACTTCAGGCTCACTTTACTATCTCAATCTCAAACACGCAACAAACCAAGTGGAACGGATACAAATTTTAACCCTAACCCCCCTGGGTTACCTGACAACAAGCAGGAAGCTTATAAGAGGAGTGTGGAGTTTGGGATTTGTTAGAGTGTAAACATAGAGCTTTTATTTTGTAGAGCACCCGTCATCACACACTGTGGAGTTAAATTAACAATGAGCCAACGCTGCTGGGTATCTTAATGATTATAAGTCAACACGGTGTAAACTAAAGGTATAGTTTCACACAGAAACCAAACATACCTGACACAAAATGGCAACCGCAGATCCAGGTATCTTCGCCTGGGTTCCAGTTGTTTCTCCGGATCGCAGAGAGCCATTTCCTCCTCGCTTCCGGGTCTCTCGGTATCCTCTGAAAAGAAAGATCCGAGTCTTTGGTGAAAGTGTTTTTACAGCTAAGCACACAGCAGCTTTTCACCATTTTGAAGTTGAAACGCTGCCACTTAGTTTGAACGTTTTCTGTCACCCTGCACGAACTGTAAGCGCTACTGTTTTGCCGCCTTCCACTGTGACGTCACAAGCATATCCTCTGTACCGACTTTACCGATTTCAAAATAAAAGATGTTTAAATGTACTACGGGTAGTATGGATACACAACTGGTCCATATTTAACCTGCAAATTAGAAGATTGATTTCATATTTTCACGTGTGGATTGTAGTCAGGAGTTTTAGGTCCAGACATGAGCAAAATTGAGATTGAAGTTCATTTATTTAACTAAATGAGTGAAATATAGTGCAAAATGCTGCAAAAAACATGATAATACAAAATGTAATAATGTAACAGATGGGTTTATAACTAACATGAGGTAGATCGTTTTTGCAGTATTTACATTAAGAGTGTGCTTAGACTGATATTAGATGAGGATAACAACACAGTATATGATTGTGTTATTGACCATAAAAAGTGTTTACATTTTGATGAAAATGAAAACCTCTTTTCCAAGGCCCTGCAGCAATACAATAAAAGACAGAACAAGAAGAAGATAAATCACAGTTAAAATACAGTAATTCATTCATAAACACACTGACTTTTGCAAACCCATGCTCATGGTTAAAAAGCACACAGCTGTCCTTGTCTCTGTCTGCAGTATGAATTTAAAAAATAAATTACTTCTTTGTTGTTAAAGTGATTATGTCCTGAATTGAAGCAGTAAAAAGGTCGATGAAAATGTGAAAACTTTTTGTCTCTTTCTCTGTGAACTATCCTTGCATTTAAGGATCGTATTAAATAACATGTCACTGTTTATAGCACAGGGATTTTGTCTCCTTGAAATAAAATTTGGTGCATAAATCTGTTGTCTGCCGACTTCTCCAGGCTCCAATGCTCCACTTGTTAGCAGTTATAAGAAGCTGTAATATGAGGTGGAAATGGGGTCATTTCATCACCATCTCACTCACACTTTCATGACTACACTCTGAGTGTTTTATTTCCCCAGTTTTCTGAAAGCCAATCACAGATTTTCCGCCCAGAAGATATTCAGGGAGTCTGTCACCTTTGGGAGCTTGTCACACTTTTGCCCTGAAACTGTTTTTGATAAGTGACTGCGAGGCCTGTTGAGACATTTTAAATCAAACCGAGATAAACAAATTAAACTGGCCCTGCTCCAGGACAAGATGAATATCTGAAGAGGTCTGGAGCTGCGGTGATCCTCTGAGACGATGAAAGTCAGGAAACAAGGACACAAACCTTTTTGTTAATCTGCTGTTTTTCTTTGTCTCATACTGTTTATTATTCCATCTTTAAAACCATGTTGGCTCACTAATGCAGACATGTTGTGTGTAAACCTGCAGCACAATGATGAAGCTGTTTATTGTTACCCTTCTACTCCAGCGCTGCACTTTTCTTTTCTTTTTTTAACTTTATCTAATCAGGTTGGTCCCATTGAGATTAGGAAACCTCTTTTCCAAATGAGACCTGCCCAAGAAAGTCAGCAGCAAATACACAAAGTTACCGACGGAGACACAAAGAGTGACGAAGTACAGTTTACAAAATACCAACATAGGCATTAAAAGAGAACCATCTAGTCAAATGTAGGAGTCAGTAGTTCAAGCAGTCGACAACCTCTAGAATCTGCTTCCATGTCGTTCATTTTAGATTTAAAAACATTTAAGGACACCAGCTCCTTGAGTTTCAAGTCATTCTGCAACAGATTCCAGGCTGAGGGTGTAGAATACCCAAAAGTCCTTTTCCCAATTTCTGTCTGAGCGTTTGGGACAGAGAGCATAAAGAGATTCTGAGAACACAAAGAATACTGTCAGGTACTTCTCTGCATGATACAAACACATAGATCATGAGGAAACAGACCAAGAATTGCCTTAAAGATGTACGTGTGAGCCTATGAGTCGCCAGAGCAGGCCATCCTACCCGAGAATACAGAGTACAGAGAGTCAGAGCTTTACAGCGTGTAATGAACCTCAAGGATGTATGGTAAGTTGTACCCACCATATGGAGACACTGAGCAGAGGCGTGCACGTACAAAAGATAAAAAAGGTTAAAAAAAAGCTGCAGCGACAAGACGCTGTTTTACATTAAAAGAAAAACAACATGTTTCTAAAATAATGACCCAGTTTTAGCCTCAGTTTTTTCACCAGGCACAGCACATTTGGTTTGAAATTAAGTAATTGACAGGCCCTTCTTGTTTACGGGGTATTTGTGGTTCAATACTGCCCCAATGTGGCCAAAAAAGTTACGAAATGACACCAATGATTTATGCATTTATGTCCTGTGCAGAGAGCAAGTGTAGGATGACACATAGACATGAAACACAACACTATAACACAGAACTATCATAAAGAGGTAATTTTTAACTGGAGAAATTGCATTGTTTTAATAAACGTTCAGGTAGGCTTATTTTATGTGTGAATGATTATTGTTAATTTGGAATTAGATCACCAAAAACATCGAACATATCTTAACAAAAACAAAGCTGTGGTTTATGTATTGAATTTGATTGAAATACTTTGTTTCCAACGTGTAAAATAAAGAGAAACGACCCAGAACAATCTGACAGAACTAAACAAATATTCATCAACTTCAACACTTAACACTGAATAAACTCAGTTTACACTATCAACATGTGCTGCATTTGTTTATCAGTCAAGGCAAAAGCTGCAGTATAAATTATAACACAGGTGTCAAGCGCAGGTATCTTGTACTCAGGGGAGTGCAGAGCGATGGCTTGGGCCCCCCTTAAAATCTAATTGGCCACCCCAGATACCACCCCAAAATCCTTAATGGCTCTTTGCCTTGCCAGAGGTGTGACTTCTGTTTAAATCAACTATTCAGGCTGTGTTGTAACAGGCAGCTCATAGTTTTCAGTGTGTAGATGTTTGTTTGCAATTTTAAAAATACTTTAAATTGTGACATTTGAAATACATATTTTTTTGAGTCCTTGAAAAATACAGTTGAGGAGTTTTATGTTACCATTATCCTGTGTAACTTAAAAGTGGATGTGATTAGTGCAGGCAGAAAGGTTAAATAAATGCTCTTTATTCATGTTTGTGCCCACAAACCTCAGGCTACTGCTGCACAAGTCAGTGCACCAGTTGGGCAACCCCAGTCCAAAACTTGTGGACACGACCCTGCTTGTATTTATTCTGAGTGTGAATGTGAGACTGTGGTGTTGTCAAAATGTCAAAAATGATTCCAGATGAGACACAGCATGTGTGTAACACAATAATACAAAAAAACTGCTTTTCTCAGTGGAGTCTGGTGTCTATGTAAAGGGTGATGTAACAGCTGTTTGTGGTTAAAAAAAATAATCTTCCTCTTTAACAAAAAGGTCGCCCTCTGTAGGGACACTTAGAGCAGCTATCTGAACATGTCAGGGACAAAAACTACAACTTTTAGAGGACATGCAGTGATCAGGGACATTTTCTCAGAAGGATTGCAGCCGTTCAAATCCTGTCTTTTCAGTCTGAATTTAAAAAAAAAAAATTCTGTACATATCAGTCGTTCAGATACCAAAACATGAAAGAATAAGGCCCATGTGTTCCCTTTAAAGTCTCTCCGTTATACTGAAGCTCGGTTGTAACATTCAACAAGCAGCTGCACTTTGCTGCTCTGTTTATCTGGAAAATGTCACTGATAGAGAGAGGTGGAGCGGTGGTGAGGGGAGTGGGGCTTTTATCTGTAATATGTCTCATGCAGAGTGTGTGTGTGTGCCTTTATTTTCTGTCACATTTTGATTAGTAAAATGTTTTCGATTGTGACTTCCAACAAATCTGTTAGTTCCATTTTATTTTTTTCTTCCAATATAAACAACATGATGTAACATTTATTTTGCACATTACGGCCCACTTAGAGTTAAAAAAGAGACCAGAAAGAAGTTAGGGTGGGGCTACCGGTGATTGACAGGTCTTTGTCTTGTTCAGTGTTTGGTGTCAGGAAAACAAACATGTCCTTGGCAACAAAATAATAAACAGGACCAGGGTATTGAAGTCCATGTTAACAAAGTATTTAAACATCTTGGATGCATCCTGTCAAACCAGTTAATGCATTGGTGCAGCATTTGCGAGCTCCTCTCATTGCCACTATGTTGTTATTATGTTTTATAACACTGAAATAATAACCATCTTAAAGATCATCAGGTCCTGAAGCGCTGGGGGACCTATTGGTTAGTAAGCCCATGTACAGAGGCAATAGTAGAAGCGGGTGGCTCAGGTTCTAATCTAACCTGTGGCTTCTTTCCTGCATGTCGTTCCCCACCCTCTCTTTCCTCGATTTCTGAATCTATCCACTGTCTCTACAATAAAGGCATAAAAAGCCCCAAAATAGGAACTTTATACTTACTGGGTTCTAATAACCCTTCACTAAGTTTAAGCTTTTTACTAAATGAATAAACTGAATAACAAATGGTTATATATAAATAATTGAACATTTCCAAACTATTTTTATGTCAAAGTAATTTAAAAAAGGTAATTTTATGATCTTATTCAGTAGATATTTCACCTTTCAGAATAAGCAGCATGGTCTATTTTCCTTTTATGTTTCAAGTTCTACGTCACCTCCATTAATAAAAGATGTCAAGACATTATTGTATCGTAGTTTTTAACAATACGTTTTAAGAAAACCATAGTTTGGTCCAAATATGGCTCCAGTAGTGTCCACAGCCTTATAATATAGATTTTTTTTTTTTTTATATAAGGCTCTGGTACGGTCTTTCGCCCCACAGGCAAAAAAACCCAACTCACTACTGTCACACTTCCGGCTCCGGAGCTGCAGCCGGTTGTGGTGCGCATGCGTACTGTGGCAGTACTGCAGCAGCTGTCAGCAGAGTGCAGGAATGTGAGGACTGTCTCTCAGCTGTAAACTCTCTTTAAAGTAGACTAGGTGTTTCCGTGTCTGTCCGTAAAACTCTCAAAAATGTCTCCCGGACGATGAAGGACTGTCCGGTCCCCTGAGGACCCGGGTTGCTCGGCTCTCTGGTCGTCGTCATGGCCTCACTGACCGTCAGCTCGGCGGCTCGGAGCCTCGAGAAGCATCGGAAGTCCTTCTCGCCGGTCTTCTACCGG